GATCTGTGGGCTTTGATTTTTCTGTTTTAACCAGTTTTAGTTGAGTAGTTCACAGAGGGCTGATTTTCACTTTGTGCATGGCATAATTTTACAATGTTTATTCTTAGGTGGGTTTGCTGAGTTCTCTCGTTGTTTCCCTGGCCTCTGTGAAGGAAAATCCACTCTAGTCCCTACCTGCATTTCCCAGCCTTGCTTACCTGTTGCCAACATTGGGCCAACCCGAATTCTTCCCAATCTTTATCTTGGCTGCCAGCGAGATGTCCTCAACAAGGTGGGTGCTTTGAAAATGTCCTTCATTGCTGGGTTTATTGTTAGCAGCTGGAGAAACAGCAGTTGCCCATTACCTGTCATTTGAAACACACCACAGTCCCAGAAAGGAAGTACATCATTCTCAGTGTCTCTCCCTAGTTAACAATTGTATCATCTTTTGGACTGTTATTTAGTTTATTTATTGCCACAGAAAACCTAAACTGTTGTCATGTTTGATTGGTCCTCATAGGTCCAAGAGACCTAAAATAGAAAATTTTTCAGAAGTTTAGCATTATTTTCTTAGGGTATTAATTGTTCTGTTATAGTAATTGGCACACAGAAAGGGTAATACTTCCTAAATTATTTCACATTTAGAAATGCATTTATTTACTGTGGCATATTAGAAAGGGACTTGGGTTGGGCTTAGATTGAGGAAGGTCCTTATGGTGACAGCTGGCCAGAGGGGTGGGGAGAAGGTGGTGAGGACAAAGGCTAAAAGTAGGCACTGCCAGCCTCACTTGTCTAGAGCTCATTGGAACAGTTTGGTTGAAAAGGAAGAGGGAAGATCATGGATTCTTGCTGAAAAGGACATGGGCTGTACTGAACACAGCATGCCCTAATAGAGGACCACATATTGGATTGAGGCCTTTGTATATGATGGTACAAGCATAACAACAATAAAACGACAATCTAACTTCACAGCTGATATGCTTTTAACCAGTAGTGCTATAAAACAGTGCTCTTGCTGCCTGGAAAAGTGATATGTTTCTAAAACCTCTTAATTTACATCACCACTAATTGAAAAAGCAAAGTTTTTCAATTCAATGTTGGTGATTCACAAGTGTTACTTTCTTATCTGAAGCAGTAACCCTTAACTTTTTCTCCTTTGAGTAATTAGAAGAATTGGGCTGACTGTAAAATAAGCTTCCAGATTAGCTTTCTTCAGCATGTGGAAAGCAGGGCTTTCCAGGAAGGGAAAAAAAAACCCTATCATGGGCAGCAGTGAGGCATTATTTTTCTTTTTGTTCTCAAAACTCCTGCCTCTTCAAACTTTTGCCTTGACACTGTGTTGTTAATAAGTTGTTGATATGCTCTAGCTGCAAGATCTGCCTGTTTGAGATTTGACAGTTTATGCTTGTCTTGAGCCTTTCTGGTGGGTCACAGTACCTTTGAGCAGGATTATTCCT